CCTCCTCACAGTGTTGTCAGTTGAACAGTATATTCATATTTTAAGCTGTAAGTAATACAAATGAAAGTTGTAGTTGTAGTAAAAGGGTTTGTCAGTCTCATGGTCGCCATCACTCTCTGGTCATGGCCTGCAGTCTGCTCTCAGTGTTGTCTGCACCTCCTCACAGTGTTGTGTGCACCTCCTCACAGTGTTGTTTGCACCTCCTCACAGTGTTGTCAGTTGAACAGTATATTCATATTTTAAGCTGTAAGTAATACAAATGAAAGTTGTAGTTGTAGTAAAAGGGTTTGTCAGTCTCATGGTCGCCGTCGCTCTCTGGTCATGGCCTGCACCTCCTCACAGTGTTGCCTGCACCTCCTCACAGTGTTGTCTGCTCCTCCTCACAGTGTTGTCAGTTGAACAGTATATTCATATTTTAAGCTGTAAGTAATACAAATGAAAGTTGTAGTTGTAGTAAAAGGGTTTGTCAGTCTCATGGTCGCCGTCACTCTCTGGTCATGGCCTGCAGTCTGCTCTCAGTGTTGTCTGCACCTCCTCACAGTGTTGTCTGCACCTCCTCACAGTGTTGCCTGCACCTCCTCACAGTGTTGTCAGTTGAACAGTATATTCATATTTTAAGCTGTAAGTAATACAAATGAAAGTTGTAGTTGTAGTAAAAGGGTTTGGCAGTCTCATGGTCGCCGTCGCTCTCTGGTCATGGCCTGCAGTCTGCTCTCAGTGTTGTCTGCACCTCCTCACAGTGTTGTCTGCACCTCCTCACAGTGTTGTCAGTTGAACAATATATTCATATTTTAAGCTGTAAGTAATACAAATGAAAGTTGTAGTTGTAGTAAAAGGGTTTGGCAGTCTCATGGTCGCCGTCGCTCTCTGGTCATGGCCTGCAGTCTGCTCTCAGCTCGACTCTGCTCCGCTGAGCAGCTTCTAAGAACCAAGCTGGATCCAGGTGAGATCATGTGACCCCGCACCAGGACCCGATCAGACCGGGTCAGAGAACCATCAAAACATCTTTCCTTATAAAGCCCGGGGTCAGAGCATACAGATTATTGAGACAAATTAAAATCTCAATCTGAGCTTTCACTACAGCAGCTTTGCTCTTCACAATCTGTGCATGACATAATGTTCACGTTTAATGCAGAGGTTAAAATAAAAATGGTGTGTTGTCATCTAATGAACAACTTGCTGTCTTAACTTTTCAACACCAGGAAAATATTCTTTGACGTCACCTGATCATAGATTTAATCCAGATGCTCCTTAACGTTTTACACAAGTTCTTGTTTTGATGAGCCCCAGACACAGAATCAGTTTCTTATCCACGCTCAGACCTCCCATGTCTCCACGTCTTCATCATGCTCAGTCTTTGACAAACGCCACAGCTGGAGTCCGGTGGACACAACAGCTGGTCCAGGTGCTGTGGAGACCCCAGCGACTGGAGCCACATGGTTCACAAACACCATGCACGTGTTCCTGGGCCTGGGGGCCGCAGAGCCGTGCACGCTCAGCCTCAAGGGCCACTCGGCTCAAGCGGTCGGCCTCAGGTTCAAGAGAGGCGGCATCAGAAGCTGCTGCTGGGTCTGGGCTGTGAGGACTGGGACCCCCACAGACCCCCACACAGACAGACGGAACAAACTTAGACAAGACTCATCGCTCACACCAACTCCCAGCATGCAGCGCGACAACTAGAATCTTTTTTATGAATTCAAGAACAAATTCTATACAGTATTATTAATTTTATCAATACGTCTTTCTTATTGAGTAAAACATTTATTCTTCCTGTTAAAACTGTTCAAGGGGAAGTGTTGATTTTTCTATGATCCATGTTTTAATCAGAAGTGTTTTTAAACATAATTTATTTTAGCTAAAAAATATGGATTTTTGTGTTAAAACTCACACCAGGCTCATTTTTAATCATAAATTTCTCTTTAAGGTATGCATATTGTTATTATTATTATTATATTATAATCATTATCATTATTATTATCTAACAACAACAGCTATAATAATAATAATAATAATAATAATGCTCCTTTGCAGTTATTAATAGCCAATAAAACATTTTTATTCATCCTTTTGTTCGTTTACTTTCATAGTAAACTTTCAAATTAGAATTTAATTTTTAATGATATTTTCAGACCGTTTTATTATCAAACATTTTCAGATTTTGTTTGTTTTTGTTTATATTATTATTATTGTTTCATTGTTTTGTTCTGTGCTATTTTCGTTTTAATTTGATTTATTTTATGGTGATTTTATCTTTTCACCATGTTTTACAGAAAAATGATTCTTTAACCAGATTCACACAGAAATTCACAAACAGAAATGTGACCTTTTTTTAAATGTCTGTTAAAAACGCGTTAGATGAAAATGAGTGACGGTTTTGGTGTGGACAGGAACATTCTGCTCTCGGTGCAACTTTTATATTTTGGATTTAAGATTTGAGAACCCAGAGAGTCGGAGCCGACTTTTCCCGACAGTCTGGAGAAGCCGTGAACGCAACCGTCTGCTCAGAACCGAGCCGGTTCCGGTCCGCTCACCTGTCTCTCGCTGAGCTGCAGCATCTTGGCCAGCCGTTTCCTCTCGGGGGGGGACAGGTACTTCTGCGTGTCGAACTTCTTCTCCAGCTCCACGGTCTGCTCGTTGGAGAAGCGCACCTGACCTCCTTTCCTCTTGTGCAGCGGCCGCTGCATGAACGGGCTCCACAGCACACCTTTACCTGCGGACACAGCCGGAACCGAACCATCAGCGCGCACAACACCTCGCGTACGTCACCGGCTTCCTGGGTCTGATAGCAAAATATCTCTTCAACCACTGGACGGCTTTTTGAGAAACTTCCACAGAACATCCAGAATCTGAAAGAAACGACTTTTCGGATTCAGAGCGATTCAAAATGGCCGCCACAGCCAACCTCGCGCTGCGGTGACGCTTCACCTGTTTTTCTGAAATGAAACGGTTTCCTCCACATTTATTTAGTCTCAGTCCGACACAAACAAGTTTCACTTCAGGTATTTATGATCTTTTAATAAATCCAGTGTTGGACAAAGGAGTCGCTTTTATTGTGTCTTTTTAAAACGTATTCTGCAGCGCTCGTGCCACATGTTTAACTACATGATTGAAACAACACCGTTTCAGAGCCCAGATTAAGAAATTCAATTATCCACTTCTTATTTTATTTATTTACATTTATTTAATCTGATGAGATGATCCAGGCCCGCGGGCCTAACATGCGTGTCTGTGGGAGCAAACCCACGCAAACATGAGGAGAACACGCAAACTCCACAGGAAGAACAAAGATCCGGAGCGGGATCGAGCCCGTGACCTTCCGGCCGTGAGGCAGCAGTGCTAACCACTGATCCATAGTCCGGCTCAAGTTGACCAACAGAACCTCAGGCTGAAAAACAATTTCTGACATTTGAACTAAATACAAATGTTGATTATAAATATATATAAATAATATATAAAATACTAAATATTGTTGGATCAACTGCAACTGCATTTTGACAACTAATAATTAATTTAATCATTTATTTCATCATTTATTTAATCATTTATTTATTGTCATTTATTTAATCATTTATT